TATGATTTGCCTTATTTACCTAACAATGAGCTGTGCTTTTGGAAGCCTCTTGGTTTAAAGTCAACCAGGACCTAGTGAGCAGACCTTGCATTTAAAAGGTGGTAGGGCCTACTAAGTCTCCAGTTTGAAGGCTCATGTGTAAAGTGATTGGATTCTGGAAGATGGTTTATCTTGTCTTGGTGAGGGTCAAGTATGGCTGTTTGGTTGGGTTTTTTTTTGCGGGGGTTGTGGTTGATTGGTTTGGTTTTTAATTCACATTCTGGTGTGAGCTAATTTGATTTGCTCTATTTAGCCATCAATTAGTGGGCTGAAAGCCTCTTGAGATCTCTAAATAGAGTCTGGCCTGAGGCCATTGGGCCTGGTGTTAATTGTGTTTAGGATGAACATTCTTCTAAGTGGTATAGCACTGGTTTGTCAATTTTCTCTATTGAAATAACTTGGGGTTGCTGTGATGCTGAATTTGTGCCACTAGTGTGCCAAACCCCACAATGGTTACCATCATGGACAGTGTTTGGTGGATCTCCAAGACTGATTCAGATTTGGAAGCAAGAGTGGAACTCACTTCCTAAACCACATGCCTCTGAAAACTTTTTCAACATAGAGAAACAATAGTTACAGAACATGGTTCACATCTTTTGTTCATAGGGTCGCTCTGAGTTGTGGTCAACTTGATGGTACTTAACAACAACAACAACAACATGGTACTATTGCTTAGACAGATATTCTTTGGTCCAAAAAATTTCTGTACTTACAAAATACTCTGAAATTCTCATTTTTTTCCCTCACTGTTATTCATGGAAGGTTTTTTGTGATCCATACAGTCAAATATCTCTGTAAAGTTAATAAAACTTAAGCAGACATCTTTTACTTATTTTCTCCTATCACTCAAGATTCATCTGACATCAAATGCCTATTTACAGAGACTGGAACTTCCTGAGAAGATTACCAAAGAATATGAGTTGAAGTCTCACCATCCTTGGTGCTAAGGAGTACTCTAACTTAACTTTTCATTAAAAATGGATTTGATATCTCTATTGGGATGTTGTTGAGCATTGCTTTTTATAGGATTGTCATTTCACAATATTGAGTATTCCTATGATCAGGGAAAATTTTTCCATTTATTTAGGTCTTTTATTTTGTCTCACAGAAATATTCTGTAGTTTTCTTTGTACAGGTCTATTGGTCTCTGGTTATGTTCATTCCCAAGTATCTTAATTTGGTTTTAGCTATTGTTTAATTATGAATGTTTTTGCATCACATATTTGAAATTTAAATATAAATTTTACCACCACATTAAACCTTGTTCATACTTCTTCCTGCTCTAAAATTATATTTTTTAAATTACTTTACATAGGTTTGTTTACAAAGTTAGTATATAGTGTGTTTCACCCTCTCTTCTACCCACCAAAGTGAGCAATCCCGTGATTTCCCATCTTTACTTCTGTTCTTACTCTTCCCACCCCACCCCATCCCACCCCCCTCTGTTGGATCTTCATACACGTTTTACTAGTAATCTTTCAATTTCTACAATAATGGTCTCATACAGTATTTATCCTTATGAAACTAAGTTAGTTTATTTGGCATAATGCTATCCAGTCCTTTCCAAGTTATGTATTAATTTTAGAAATTGTTACTCCTGAGTGTTACATATAGTGTATTACGTGAATGCACCATAATTTCACCATCCATTCAGTTATTGTTGCACAGCTGGGCTGTCCACGTTCTTGTGATGGCGAATAATGCTGCCATAAATATTTGCGTACAAATCTTTGTTTGTGTCTCAGTTCTAATTTTTTTGGAATGTATTGCAAACAGTGGAAGAGCTGGGTCATATGAAAAATCTATGTTCAGCTTTTTGAGGAAATATCAAACTGCCTTCCAGAGTGGTAGTATCATTTTTCAATCCCACCAATAGTGTGTGAGAGTTCCTATTTCTCAATATACCCTCTAACATTTATTGCTTTCTGTCCTGTTAAATTTTGCTAGTCAGGCATGAGATTGTATGCCATTGTGAATTTGATTTACATTTCTTTTATTGCCAGCGGTTTTGAGCATTTTTTCATGTGTCTTTTAGCTATCCAAATGTCTTTCTCTGTGAAGAGTCTTTTCGTGTATTTTTTTTTCCATTTTGTAATTGGTTTATCACCAGTGGACCAATTGGCAGCATCAGGATGGATGGTGAAGAGATTGAGATTGTACACAGCTTTAGTTTGCTTGGCTCCAAAGTCAACAGTCTTGACACCAGCATCCAGGAAATTAAAAGGCACATTGCCATGGGAAAGTCTGCTGTTAGGGACCTCTCCAAAGTACTGAAGAGCAATGGTGTCTCTCTCTCTCTGGAGACTAAGGTGTGTCTGATACAGGCCCTGGTGTTTGCAATCGCTTGTTATGCATCAGAGAGTTGGACAATGACTAGGGAGGACAGAAGGAGAGTGGGTGCTTTTGAGCTGTGGTGCTGGAGAAGGGTACTGAATGTACTATGGACTGCCAGAAAAACAAACAGATTCATCTTGGAGAGGATTAAACCAAGTTGCTCCTTGGAGGCAAGGATTCTGGGGCTTCGTCTGACATACTTTGGACATTTTGCCAGGAGAGACGGGTCCTTGGAGAGGGACATCATGCTTGGGAGGGTGGAGGGACAGCGCAGGAGGGGAAGACCCTCTATGAGATGGATTGACTCGGTGACTGGGGTAATCGGGATGGGCGTGTCAGAGGCGGTGCGGTTGGCGCAGGATAGAGCAGGGTTTAGGGCGCTATGAGTCGGAAACGACTCGATGGCACGTAACAACAACAAACAACAACGTCTTTATGTCACTCTATTTTTACTCTCAGCTGTGCTTTTAAAATTCATACACAGTGTAAATATCAATTTTACCTTTATTTGTTTAACCTTATCGTCTTTGCCTTATAATTTCTGTAATTAAAATATTTATAGTTAATACAATTAATGGTATATTTGGTTTAATTTACCGCATCATTTTATTACTTATCTTACTGTAGTTTCTCAATTTCCATTTGTATTAGTGAATCATCTAAAAAACTCAAATTCATTGTCAATGAGTAAGGGGTAACCGAGTCAGGAAGACCAATTGAGAGGACCATCTAAGTTCAGAGGAAGACTTATCAATAACCTGAGTTATGAAGATGACACAGCCTTGCTTGCTGAAAGTGTGGAAGACTTGAAACATTTGTTGCAGATGACAAAAGAATACCGCCTTCAATAAGGACTGCATCTCAACTTTAAGAAAATAAATATTCTTAACATTGGACACATAGGCAATATTATGATAGATGGAGAAAAGATTGAAACTGTCAACAACTTCATCTTACTTGGATCCACAATCAACATGTTTTGCACCACCCATCAGGAAATCAGGAGATGATTACTCTGGGAATGTCTGCATGCAATTAGGAACGTTTCCAATTTACTGAGGAGTAATGTCATTTTGAGAACTTTCTACGTATCTAAGAGATAGACAATGAATAAGGGTGACAGTAGAAATATTGATCACTTTGAGCTAAGGTGTTGGAGAAGAGTGCTGAACATCCCATGGATGGCCAAAAGAACAAACAAATGTCTTTAAGAAAGTGCAGCAAGAGTGCTCTTTGGAGGCAAAGATGATAAAGCTTTACCTCACATACATTAAGTATGTGTCTAGAGGGGCCTATTCATTGGAGAGGGAAATGATGTTTGGAAACACAGTTTCCAGAGGCATGTGGTTTAGGAAGTGGATGCCTGCTTCCAAACCAGTTTTACAACTGGGAGCTCCACCAAGCACTGTCTACATTGGAAACTACTCAGGTATTTGATAGGTTCAGCATCACAGTAAACCCAGGTTACTTCATACAGAACATTGACAAAGAGTGATATGCAAAGTGAAAGAATGTTGTTCCAGATACAACAGCACTAGTTTCATTTAGCAATGGTTAAGTCTTGTCAAGTTGACTATGACTGAGAGAGTAAGCTTTGCACAAAATACCTGAACTCAGTTCTATCCTAACATCCTTTCTCTACATTTATAGAGTTTACAGACTCTATAGATTCCTAATTAATAGATTTAATGATTCATATTGTTTTTTCTATAATTTTGTTATTTGTTTAGTTAATTAATTTACTGAAGTACATATCCATAAATCATCATGATTTATATAAAACCAATCAACTTTTACATAAAATATAAGATCAGCTCATTAATTTTACATATACTTATTAATTTTGAGCTATTGATCATACCTTTGAGCTATACATTGTACATTACCACATTCAATATGTTTTTGGTTTAGCAGTCTTGTTTTAAAAAAGTTAAGTGACTAATTCAAAGTAGCCCCCCCCATATCTACCAACATGTGATATTTACAACATGTGTTATTCTTTATTTTTTCCTGAATGTATAATATTTCTTTTCAAACTAAAGATATTGAATATACTTTCTAAAAATTTCATTAACACAGGAACTTAAACAATGTGTGTAAACACAGTTTCCATTGTGAGAATATGGCAAGAATTTCATGCTTCTGTACTAAAGATTTTTATAAGTAGGTACATATAGGAAAGCACCTAAAAACAGTGGCTAAATCTCTCAATTTTCACTTTTCGTATTAGAGTAGTCAAAAGACTACATGTAATTCAGGTTAGTCACAGAATACAATCAGTCAGGACAGCTTCCAAAATGTGCTCAAAGGCACCTCAGCCTGCAATCTTGCAACTTTTGTCTCTTGTGGTTGTGGTTTTCTGTTGAGTAAGAACCAACCCATAGATGATCCTCCAGTGATTTTTCAGAGGCAGTAAATTATGAAGGAGGATATTTCTCATCATTCTCCAGTGTAGCATTTGGTGAATTTCAGCTACATTCCTTTGACATTGCAGTGCAACTTCTTACCACTAGGCCACCAGAGTTCCCTTTAGTCACTTAGTCCCGATAATTATGGCTCTCCTTCCATCAGTCCTCCAAAAACCTTAATCAAAAAACTCACAGCTCAAATTCTGTGGTATATGCCAGAACACTAGAAGATGAAGAGATGTGGTTTAACACAGATGAGAATGATATTGAAGATGGAGAAGCTGTAGTGTCTCCATCTGACAAAACTAAAAATGATGATGACATTATGGATCCAATAAGCAAATTCATGGAAAGGAAGAAATTAAAAGAAAGTGAAGAAAAAGAGGTGCTTCTGAAAACGAATCTTTCCGGTCGGCAGAGCCCAAGTTTCAAGCTTTCCCTCTCTAGTGGGACGAAGACGAATCTCACCAGCCAGTCATCTGCACCGAACCTACCTGGATCTCCAGGTTCCCCTGGGACCCCAGGCTCTCCAGGCTCTCCAGGCTCCCCTGGATCTGTCCCTAAAAATACATCCCAGACGGCAGCTATTACTACCAAGGGAGGCCTTGTGGGTCTGGTAGATTATCCTGACGACGATGAAGATGATGATGATGATGAGGATGAGGACAAGGAAGACTCGCTGCCATTGTCAAAGAAAGCCAAGTTTGATTCCTAATAATCGATGGCTGCGTTCAGCATCTGTTGACAAACTGGTTCTCCACCCCTCCCCCTACAGAATCCACAACCTGGCAGCCGTCTCTTGTGAATGACTATCGCCTTCAGCCACGTACACTTGACTTCTGCTCAACAAGTGCCAATTCCGTGGAGCAGGAGGAGGGGGTCATGTCCATTAGGGGAAAGGTTTAAGCCTCTGAGCTCTCCAGCTTGGACCACACATTGCCCTTTTCTCAGGGAAGGAAGTGGAAACAAAAAGCCAACAGGGCAGGGGTTCTGTAAGTGGAACTCTGGATGGACGGGTCAGTCGCTACAATCCCAACATGCTCTCTTGGACCATGTTTGAGACTCAGAAAAACGGGCTCTTCTGCCACAATTCTTCACCAGTTAAGAATGCCAGCAGTTTCTTTGTATAAAGAGACCTGCCTTTAAAATCATTCATTCTGAACATTTTAGTCAAGCTACAGCTGGTTTGGAAAATGTCTGTGGGGAGGGGCGAATATAAAGTTTCCTCTTTTTTATCTGTTCCCTTTGCCCTTCAAACTGCAGATTTTTTTTTCTTAAGTGGGGATTTGTCCTTACTTGATTAAAGATTGAGTGGAATTCTAAAAAAAAAAAAATTCTGTGGTATAACAGTACCAACGTTAGCACCATTGCATGTTATGTCTCTAGTGCTTTGCTGTTGGCTACTATGGAGACTGCAGCAGAAATAAATTCTGTCTCTGAAGGAAACACTTCTTTCTCTTGCTTCTTCTTTGCTGGTGGTGAGATTCTGAAAACTTGCAGCTGAATCTGCTCAATTTAGTGATGAGACGAGCCAATTCTTTTGTCGAGAGGCTAATATGCAGTATTTACATATTCTCTGCTATTTAAATGGTAAAGTCAAACTCAATGAAAAGGGAAGTAATTTTGAACAACTAACCCTTAGCACCACATTTTGTATTTATTTTATGAAGGGTATTTTTTATAATACAAAAGTTACAATTTTTTCTTTGTATAGTATCTTGTCATTTATGATTTGAAAATGTCTTTGTATTTCAGCTATTTGTGTACAATATGACTGGTTGCAGTATTGTTTGAATTTGGGCTCTATATTATATTATTGTTAATTTTCAACAATATGGCTTTTTTTCATCACTACTTTACTCCACTTTACTGCTCTACTCTTTTTTTCTCTGTACTTTCACAAAAAGATTTCTGGAACACATGTCTTTTTAAATCTTCAAATTCTTTATAACTTTATTTTTTTACTTTTATATTTTAGATAATTCACTAAATGTGTTCTGAACTCTATTATATTGATGTAAGGGTTCTTAATTTTGTTTTTGGCAAGAGGTTAAATTATCAGTGTCTACTTGAATCCTGATAGTCTTATATAAATATTTGGGGTGGGGGGGGTTGGTTTTGTGTTGTGGATTGCTTTTTCTTTTTTAATTTCTATGACATGGACTCTACTTTGGCTTCTCCTTTATCATAATATGTGGCTTTTGTTAGGTATTACCTATAGTTGAATAGTTGAGTTACTTAACTAGGTTCTAATGTAACCAGGCTATCCAGCAACTAGGAACAATCTGTTACATCTATTCCTTCCTTAGTTCTATAGTAGCTTCTTCTGCATGGCTTTACAACTTTATCTTGAATAGTGCAGTCCAAATCTGAGCCAAAAAGCTTTCTAGGATCATCCACTGGAGGGGTGGCAATGAGTCAGTTTCAAAGTGATGATATATAACAATAAGAACAATTCATGGCAAAAAATAGAATATTGAATATCACCAAAACTACACAACCAAGAGAGGATAAATCAGATGAATCAAAAATTAAATCATTATACACAATAAAGAATTTTTCTCCAAAAAGAGTGAAAAGAGAACCAACAGACTTGAAAAAATATTTGACAATAAAATATCAGACAAAGAGTTCATCTATATACTCTATAGAGAACTCCAGCATTTTAAAAAAAAAAAGCCCACATACAAAATGGTCTGGAGATATGAAAAAAATATCTTCACTAAAATCAGGAAAAAAATGTATCAGAAATGTGTCCTGTCTCTATACTTTTTCAGTCTATTTGCAAAGCAGATCATTCAAGAACCTGGGCTTTATGAGAAGGAATGTGGCATTAGTATTGGAGGAAGAATCATCAACAACCTATGATATCTTTTCCTTGTGAAAACCAAGAAGGACCTGAAGCACTTGATGCAAAAGGTCAAAGACTATAGTTTTCAATATGGATTGAAGTTTAACATCAAGAAGACAAAGATTCTCACCACTGGGCCAAATGACAGCACCATGATAGATGGAGAAAAGATTGAGGTTGTTCACAATTACAGGTTACTATGCTCCATAATCAGCAAACACTCTTAGCACCAGCAGTCAGGGATTAAAAAAGATGAATTGCATTGAAAAAATCTGCTGTCAAGGACATCTCCAGAGTACTGACAAACAATGATGTCGATCTAGAGACTAACGTGCACCTAATCCAGGCCATGGTCTTTGTAATTACTTGCTGTGAATCAGAGAGCTGGACAATGGCTAAGGATGACAGAAGAAGAATAGATAGCTTAGAATTGTGGTGCTGGAGAAGAATCTAGACCATACCATCGACTGTCAAAGAACAATTATGTCTATCTTGGAGTAGGTGAAACCAATTTTATCTTTGGTGAGTAGGATTTTGAAGCTCTGTTTCACAGAGGTTGGCCACATGGCCAGTATAGATTGGGCCCTGTAGAAGGGCATTATGTTTTGAAGGGTGGAGAAACAGTGTAGGTGATGAAGACTCTGGGTAGGATAAATTGATTCAGTAACTGGGCCAGTGAGGGTTGATGTGTCAGAATTAGTGAGACTGTCTCAGGACAAGTCAGGCTTCAGAACTGCTGTATATAGGGTCACTGTGGATCCCAGGCAACTCGGCAGCATGCAACAACTACAACAAGGAAGAGAAGACATTCAGATAACCAACATACATAAAGAAATATTAAAAAAAAATTTTAGTGATTGTTATTGTTATGTGACATAATGTCATTTACTATGAATCACAGTGATTCTGTGAACTACATGTCTTAACAATGTGCTATCCTGCACCATACTTCTGATCTCTGTCATGTTCAAGTTCATTATGGTAATCACTTCATCAATCCATCTAGTCTTGGATCTTTCTCTCACCACCCCTCTCCCTTTGTCAAAATCATATATTTTTTAAGGACTGGTACCTTCTGATAATATTCCCAAATTAAGTGAGAACAAGTTTTACCATCCCTTCTAAAGAGGGTTCTGATTGTACTTACTTCAAGACATATTTGTCTGTTCTTTTGGCAGTCCATTGTATATTCAAGTACAGCACTCAACTGACAGTTTACCTTATTGTGATGGGTTGCATGTTGCTGTGATGCTGGAAGTTATGCTATTTAAATTACTGGAAGGGTGACCCAAGATCAACAAATTCCAATAGAGATTCAAGATTGAGATAAGAAGCAAGATAGACCATCTCTTTTGAAATAACAGGCTATTGAAAATTGTGTAGACAATAGTAGAACACTAGCTATTATTGCTGTTAGATGTTGTCAAATTTAGTACAACTCATACTGAATTTATAACAACCAACCTGAATCCTGTCCAATCCTATGCCATCCTCACTATCACTGACACACTTGAGCCCCACTTCTGCATCTTATTGGGGTCATTCTCTCTTTCTCTTTCTCCCAAGCATTATGTCCTTTTCCAAGGAATAATCTCACTTAACAACATGTCCAAAGTATGAGAGATTAAAGCTTTGCCATTTTTGCCTGCAAGTAGCATTATAGCTAAAACTTTTCCAAGACATACCTATTCATTCTTTTGTCAGTCTGTGAGATATTCAGTACTCTTCTCCAACATTGAGAGGAATAATTTTTTTCTTCTGTTATCTTTATTCATCAGCCAATTCTCAAATGGATAGAAAGTAATTGAAAAGATCAAAGACAGAATCAGGTTTACTCTAGTGTTTAAACTGACATCACTGCTTTTTAGTATTTTGGAGCTATTCCTGATGGTGGACTTTCCCATAGAAATACACATAACAATAACAATCACTAAAAATCTTTAACTCCTGAATGTTGGTACCTAGGATGTTGATTGTAGAAACAAGCAAGATGAAATCATTAAAAATTTCAATAGATTCTCAAGCTATCTTGATGTTGCCCACTAGCATAGTGGTAAGGACCTTTGTTTTCTTGATGTTGAGATGCAATCCATATTAAAAATTTTAGTCTTTGGTCTTCTACAACAAGAGTTTCAGGTCCCCGTCACTTTCAGCAAATAAGCTCGTGTCATCTGCGTAGTATATTTTGCTGATGACTCATCCTCTGATATTGATGCCACATTCTTCTTTATAGAGACCAGATTCACTAATTATTTTCTTAGCATACATATTGAATAGGTATGAAGGAGAGATATACCCCTGATGTACAACCTTCTAAAAGATTAGGTATTGTTGCTGTTGCTTTGTATAGTCAAGTCACTTTGTGACTCATAGTAACTCTATGTACAACAGCTCTGAAACCTACTTTATCTTGAGGCAACCTTATTATCTGATACATCTACCACCATTACA